TCTGTACAGTGTCTCTGACTGTTATCACGTCTCAGCGAAGCGGTCTGCTGACTGTGCTTGATCTGGTTCATGTTAAGAATGGTCTAACTTACCTCAAGAATTCTCCGTATACCATTTCTTCCACACACAGAGCTGCCGATCCTGGTATTCGAGGGCAAGTGGTTTTTCGGCATCCCGCGGAGAGCAATGAATCCAGCATGACTATCCTGCAACTCTCAAACCGAGGTAGCATCCATCAGATGAACGGAGTGCTCCTGAAAGGGTCCGCCTTGGACGATGGTCTAATGGCGCACCCGTTGCAAGCCAGCTCAGCCCCGGGAATACAACATCTAGCCAGTCTTGGTCAAGCTCGCTCACATCCTGGACCTCTCGGATGGCGTAAATCCGAGCAACTTGATTTCACTGATGCATACGAAAGTAAGTTTTTGAGTGCTGAGCTTTAGTACACCTTATTGACTGCCGCTTCACAGAGCTCTTTATCGATGAGGAATCCCAAGAACAAGATCCGGACGCTGTCTATGATTTGCTGGACGTAATGGCTCAATACTGGCAGAAGCAAGACGTGCCTGTGGAACACACTCTGACAACGTAACTCTCCTCGCTTCTCCTGAAAGCATCGTTGCTAACGTCTTATTCCAGTTTCGACATTGCGTTCAACTCCGGAGAAGAATCTCTAGACGCTTCCAGAGCCGACTTCTTGAAAGACAACACGCTGAGCTCTATGCGAGGCTATCGTGCTCTGCTCCAAGGACGTATTCCTCACGATCAACTCGCGCGGCAAGCACCGTGGCACCGCGACATCACACCAGCGATCTCTCATTTCATTACAGACATGTCAAGTGACCCGGTCTCACTGACATCTGCGCTGCGAAAATATGATCTGGCGTCGGAGGAAGATCGACCAGCCCCATCATATAGAACAGAAGCCGAGGCGCGTGAGCAGGTCGCGCTAGACCTAACGCTCTCGTCCCATGTATATTCTGCTGGACTCAACGATGCGAAACCGCAGGAAGAAGATGATCTCCTGGAGGCGATGTCTCGGGCTACAGAAGCGTTGTCTCTTGGAAGTGCGGAGCCTCCCCAGGTCGCATTTGGTTTCCTACGACCCGAGCAAGATTCGTACAATGATTTCGTGGAGGGGACCGCTTCAGAAAAGGGATCGTTCAAGTCTCCTCTCGGCGTTCGCCTGCTGCTAGATGACTGGAAAATCGGGTCTGATCATAGCGAATATACGTACGAAGACCCGTACGGGGTCTCCAGCTCGCCTACCATGGCCAAACCTATCACTTCCACTCGGCCGCCTCCTATTGCGGTATACACCTCAACAGCACCTCCCGCAGTGCAAGCCACGCGTCCTCCAGCTCTCGCTGCCCCTCCTATCATCGCGGCTACCCAGCCATCTCGACCACCCGCGATCTTGCCTTCAAGCCAGCCTCTGGTGGAAGTCAGAAAGCCTGCGGTTGGTGGAAGTCAGCCCAACGGTGTTGCATGGCAGACGCCTCCGGCCTCCCAGGTTCCGTTTGCGAGTACCCAGGTACTACCGGGCCCGCATGGAGGGCGACCACCGCCGATAAAGAAGAAAGCAGCAAAGAAGCGGGTTGGAGGGTTTTAACTGGCAGCAAGAAGAGGGGTCTGGATCTATCCGCAATCTACAGTAGTAATGTTTACGAAGTTAATCTCGCATACCGTACCCACCTAGCCGTACTATACCGCAAAAAGTTGTACCCTAGCAATCCTAGTATACATTTCGACGCGTCACAACGTTCCAATCGAAGAATTAGCAGGAGCAAAGGCCGGAAGTACTAGCCGAGTAAAACACGCTCCACTGGAGGGTTGCCATAATTAGCGCGATCTGCTCTGCTACAACTTCCGGGTCCGACGACCATCCTCTGAACGCCTCTCTCTCTCCACCACCATTCTCTCTCCTCCACCCATCCTGCAGACCATTCGTATTTGCAACACGCCCACCACGAAGGTCTCTTAATCTCGCCCGCACGTGCAACAGCACGGTCCTGGACTCTTACCGGCCCTGTAAGAGCATCCTATGAGTGGAGAAAGGTACGCCTCTCAATCGGTGTATTGCGACCGCGTGTTTGCCACTTGTGTTCTTATGTACTTCGTCATGCAGGCCATCAAACTATCTTTTCGACTCGGTCGCCCTCCATGAATCTCTCCGACGTACGACGGAACGTTGTTTAGTTGTACATGTCGGCGCTCACGATCATTCATACAGGAAACAAAGCTGTTGTATGTGCCATCTCGGCCAGCTATATCTCGACGTTTGCTGGCTATCCGGTACGTTCTGGACGAATCTCACGAGTTGAGATTTTGCGTTGACCGTTGTGGTGTATCTGCAGTTGGATTCCATCAAGTCGAGGCTTCAGACTACGAAAACACCCATATCCATTGCAAGGCTCGCCGCCCTTGTATACAGAGAGGAGGGAGTGAGAGGGTTTTACAGGGGATTATGGATTCCACTGATGACCATTTCGTTTGTTCGTGCGTACATTCCCTTCGCGTGCCATGCTCTCTCTCCTGACAATGTGCCCTGATGTACAGGTGCTGCTTCGTTCACTATCTATACCCGCACGAAAGAATATTTCAGAGAACGACACATGTTCAATCGCGATCGAATGCTAGATGTTGCTGCAACCGGTGGTTTAGGGTGCGTTCCTTCTGTATGACCTGTGTCTACTCGTTGTAACGCTCTTGTGCTAGCGGTGCCCTGTCAGGGTCCTTGATCTCATTTGGAAGTGCTCGTGAGTGGGTCTTATTAGGTGTCTGCATCTCATACTGACATTTGATGCAGCGTTTGAGCTTGTCAAGGTGGTTCTTGGTCTCGCCGCCTCGCTAGAATCACCCACTCACAGTTGAGATCAGGTCCGAAGGCAGCTGGAGTATTCCATCGCGGCGAGCAAGGGCGTCCGTCTCGCGAAGCCACCCAACACCATCGAAGCCATACGGGATATCTTCCGGACCAACGGTCTGTTCGGGCTGTACACGGGTTTCCGCCTACACTTTGGTGCGTGCATGACCGGAAATGCGCTGTTCCGCCCCGCTGATACCTTTTCATTGCTGCAGTACGCGATACGATGGGTACAGCGCTGTACTTTTTTGAGTACGATGGTTTGCGACACATAATGGGCCGTGCGCCATCTGGAGAGCAAGGCGAGACACCACACTGGCTCCCTCTCCACGCGTCTCTGGTACCGTTTTGTTGTGGCTCGGTGGCCGGCGTCACATCCTGGGCCCTCATCTACCCTCTCGATGTGTGAGTGCATGAAATGCTCCTGTCTCGTTACGATTGTCACTGACGTTGCGCCGCGACGATTGTGTAGTGTCAAAACGAAAGTGCAACAGCGGGCATTAGCGGGAGAGCGAAAGCGCACCGTATTCGAAACCCTCCACCGACTGATTAGGGGTAAGCCGCTGCATATCCGTTCACGCGATTAGATGTCTGACTCGACGCGTGTAGGTCCGGACCCCAACGCACCAAAGCCTCTCCTGCTGGGCCTTGCTCGCATATACCGGGGCCTAGGTGTCAGCGCGCTACGCAGTGTAACCACGCATGGCTTGCTATGGACCTTTTTCGATCTCACGTCTGCATATATTGACGGCCTTCCACGCGCGGCGAGCGACGATAGCATAGAGCAATGATCCATCCGTACCGAGTGTCTGCCACCACATTGTATTTACCCCAATCGCATTGCAAACAGAATAGTGAACACGTCTTGCTGTGTCTTGCTCCTATGCATGAGCTTCCTGAGACAGGTGCACTGTGAACCTATTCTTGCGCTGGATCATCACCCGACCTTCCAGACGGGACGGGAAGGCAGGTAGCTTCTGAGCTATTCGTGTGGCCCAGCTGGTAAATCGTCTCGAGCAGACAAACGTCGTGGTCCAGCTGGTAAAGCGTCCGATCATTCGATCATGCACTGGCAGTAGAGAAACATACTCGACCTCTAGCTCGCTCAATTGGCCTCCAAAAATCCTGAAAAAATTCGTGCGACTTGAGATACGATACACGAAAAAGCCAAAAAGACATCGACGCCAGCAGGACTCGAACCTGCGCCCTCGGCAGCAACGCCCTGTTGGTATGCCACCCGGCGATGTCCACCACCCACCACTCTAACCACGTCGCCCTAATCGTCCTCCTCGCCGTTTCCCAACGCCAGCCAGCCGTTGGCCACGCAGCGATGCCCACCACGGTATCCCTCCACGCTCGACACGCGCGTTCGATCCCCGACGGCGCCACGCTCTCCGCGACGCGCGTCTCATGCCATCACTACTCAACGCTTCGCTACCGCCACCGCCACTCCTCTCGTCCTCCACAGCCACTATCGTTGGCGGGTCTGTCTGGCGCCGGGGCACCCTTTGAGGCTCAGAGCGACTGTACTCAGGTCTGACTCTGACTGGCAGTGGCACTGCCAGTGGGGTTCCTGGCCCTGGCCTTCATATTGTCACTGGCAGGCTCAGCTGGCAGCTGCCAAGTAGCAGGCTCAACATTCTCAGGCTTCAGCTGGGTCATTCATCCAGATTTTTCTGGATGAACAGTCTGTATACTCCTGCTGCCCCCTGTTTTATCTATCAACTGACCCAAGTGACTCAGGCCGTGCCCCCTCGGCATTGAATTTACAGTTTATCTTCAAGTGGCGACACCGTGGCCATCTCGTACAACCCTGGCCATACTCCAGCACTCTATGATTCACAGCTTCCTGAGCCCATCTCATCATTTACGTCTCTGCAACTTGCAGTCGTTCGTCCCTCATCCAGCCTCTGACCCAATTCTCAGCCCCTTCGGCATTGAATTTACAGTTTGCTGTTCAGCAGTGACACCGTGGCCATCTCGTACAACTCTGGCTCTACTTCACCAGTCTATGATGCATAGCTCCCTGAGGCCTCCTCGAAACCCACATTTCTAGATTGCAGTATTGTTGAAGGCCTCTTAAACTGACATAGAATTGTGTGACATTATCTGGATCATAAGCAGCTTGTATCAAGGTGCTATAGCCAAGTGGTTACGGCGACAGATTAGAACTGGCTCTATGTAAACTGCTTAGTCATCTGTTCCTCTTTGAGGGCGTAGGTTCGAATCCTGCTAGCATCGTCTGCTTTTGCCCTTGTTTTTGTTTCTCTTGCTTCAGAAAGTAGCATGATCTGTGTTTCTTTTAACATCTACACATGTCGTAGGTTTTTGGTGGTAGCCTCGTTGCTCACGGGCCTGTCCAGCTTCACGGCCAACTTCCACACTCACAATTTTTTTTTTCCTTTGGTCCGTAAATCATCCACCTGCAAGGCTGTCCAGCTTCACGGCCAACTTTTGCACTCACAACCTTTGGCCTTTAATCAAAGAGGAACAGATGACTAAGCATGACTAAGCACCTCATTCTAATCTGTCGCCGTAACCACTTGGCTATAGCGCCTTGTAGAGTTGGTAATCTGAATACAGTATCAACGCAACACTTTCCTCAATTCCCTTTCTTTATGCTAGTAGCAGTCTCACGATGGCGGCAAGCAGCATCACCATCATGACCTTGTCATGACCTTCGTCGACGGTCTTGCCAGTGCACCTGCTTCCTTGCCCAATCATGTAGACTCCTAATCTCTGGAGGCCGCAGCTTGATACTTGTTTTCATTCCCCCCCGTACGAGTACAGTAAGGTTCATCAGCAGGCAGACGAACGCACTTAGAATTTGACTCAGAAGATGCGGACGACTACATACTGTGACTACCACAGGGTCTGTATAGTGAGATGACTTGGGTGTGACCCTCCGCGGTCAGGCACTAGGTGAGTACCAGTGATACCTACCTGGATACGCCAGTACTCACTGCAAGGGTTCATCTGAATAGTGTGTTAGCTGTAAATGCGGTACTCGTACGCGGGTACCGGTCACTGCAGTAGAAGGTTTACGAGGATCATTTATCAATGACTTCCAGTATCAAGAGACGGTCTTTTGACCTCGCCGCGCACAATCCGAGGACTGTATGTGTCTTTTCTCGAAGCGCACTCCCACTTATGTGTGTCCAATGATATCATCTGGTCATCTGGAAGGGTTCAATGTTCTGACTCTGTACGAGGAACTGCTTGTAATACGCATCCCACTGTCCGCTGACTCGAATTGCCCACTCTTCTCAGTACCACGTACAGCTCAGCTCAGTGTCTCAGTCCGCCTGAGCTACTAAAGCGATCCAGACGATGCAGAAGCGTATTCGCAGCCTCGCAGTACTCTAGCGGGTTGCTACCTACGTTCAGCACCGTGTCCTTTCTTTCTCTCGTTCGTTCTGCGCTCTCTCCTTCAAGTTTCCCCAGGTTTCTTAACATCTACACTCTCATCTCAGTATGCGCGACTGGATGTCTTCCAAAGAGATTGCGAAAGATCTCGGTATGATGTGACTTGTTTTTGACACACCGGATCGGCGTTGAAGCTCTTTTACTCAGTTGCCCTTGGGAAGACACAGCATGTAATATGCGGAGTTTATTTGTGAGTCTTCGTGTGCGATGAGCGTACAATGTCTAACAGTGTATGGTGTAGCTGGGAGTTTATCGTGTCTCTCAAATTCGAATGGGAGTTCATCAGGCGTCGAAAGACATTGGGGTGGTCCATGGTATAGTCGTAGTAGTGCATTCGTCATTTACAAATGAACTTACTTTCATTTACAGGTCGTCTACTTTTTCGGTCGATACGTGGCGCTTTTCACGTTGATCGGAGTGTAAGCTGTGGGCTACCCTTCCTGAATGTTGAGCTGCGCTTACCTCTGTACACGGACAGAATCATCTCTTTGGATACTGACAAGTAGGTCTTGCTCGTAATTCACTGTTGCAGCGAAATCTAATGTCCTTATCGTACAGGAAAATCAATTGTGAAGCGCTGTACAAGTTTCTAGCGGTACGTTCGTTCCTTCACCCTCACTTCGGTACGCTGATGGGCCCCTGGTAGTTCGGCGGTCAGGCCACCATTGGCCTCACTTGTGCTAACTTAGCGATTAGAACGTATGCTACGAACGTACACTTCATACCCTTCTGAGCTGACGGTTCATTTACAAAGAATGGGGATCTGGGGCTGCGACCGCCGCGTCGTCATTCCTCTGATTGTCCTCATCGTCGGGCATTGGGTCATCCTCATGCAAGGTATGCTATGCAGTTCTCTTCACGTTGTGGCGGGGCTCAATGGAAAGCTGTTCTCTCCAGGCGTCGCCGTACGTGCAGACTATAACGAGGCCACCAGATGCTACATAGCACCGACCAAACCGGAACTGATCGCAGGCGGATTCGTCTACGCCATTTGTTTTGACCTCGTCATGTTCATGCTCTCTGCATGGAAGCTTCTACTGCCAAAGCAGTGTCAAGTAACTCCTCTCGTCCAGACTCTACGGAAAGACATGTTGTTGTCTCTGGGCATCGCGTAAGTATATATCGCTTTTCTCCTGGCTCTCTCTGATCTGAAGACATCTGCAGTTTCCTCGTCAACGTTCCTGCAGTCGTCATTCTTTCTCTCAACTTGAACCCCGTTATGAACACTTTGCCGACCCTTCCTGCGGCCATCATTTCATCTGTACGTCGACTCCTGCTTCGCGGCTGGTCTGGTGTCCTGATTTGCTTCTAGATAATGGCCAGTCGTGCTGTCCGCCGGCTGGCTAACTACGACCCTAGCTCAGCCAGTTCGTCGTAAGCTCACATATCCTCTCAACACGCCCGTCTCGATCAACGGGTTTCTGTTAGTGCAACCGGGAACAACGATATGGTGTTCAGAAGCCCTAGTCAAGCGGCTCATACAAGCAATCATCGCTCACATAGAGATTCGTTGGGCGGCATACACGTTCAGGTACACGTTTGTCCATGTACTTTCCTTATTGAGCTTGGCTTACATGTCTGCTGTCAGATGCATGTAGACACTCTTGTGACCGATGACACCGACCTGCGGCTGGACCCTACGAAGTTCGTAGAATTCGGCACCTCCTCAGAATATCCAGCTTCGTACGCCGCTGTGTAGGAAAGCACTACACAGTTTGAGTCTATCAATCCCTCCCCCTTTCTACACACTGGCCCCAGTTTTCAAGGCGGACGTTTCGTATGGCAGGAATTGGCTCCGATATCGCCGTGTACGTTAGTTTGTTTTCAATGACGTTTGCCACATCCTTGTTACGTTCGTCGCTTTCTGCATCAAATCTCTCAAGTGCACCGTCATTGAAGGGAAGTAACCGGATTGGGGTGGAGGCGGTCCCTCCTCAGCCAATCTTTAAAGCCAGACTCTTCGTTGTGCATCTTCCACGAAGCCCGCTACCATTCCCCCGAGACCGTCTTGCTGTTATGCCCTCGAGTTCCATGGATTTCGACTCTTTATCGGAAACTGAACGTGCACTCGCGATTTGTGCTAATCGCCTACTGGAAGCTTTGTGCCGACTTCCTGCGAAAGACAGTTTGCAGTACTTGGGATGGGAGACGCGATTCTACGGAGAGATTGTGAGTCACCAAACTTCTTTCCAGCGACCTTTCGGAGTCTGATTTTGAAGCAGGCGAAAATTCGAGAACTCCAACAGCAAGAGAGTACTTCTCGTGTTCATGCTCTTGTTGTCAGCGCGCTACTGTGCTACGCTGAGAGCCCGACTACACCCAACATAAGCACCATTTCCGTCGGCGATCCGCAGGTGCTCAACAGTTCATACCACCGCGCCGGACAATGCTATCAAGTTTTCAACAGTAACTGGGGGCATGGAGATGAACTTTGGTGGAACAAGTTTAGTACGTGATCATCGGGCAGGGGTACAGAACTCAGATCTAATAACCAGCATCATGCTCTTTTTAGGTTCTACACGACAGCCTTCTGACGTCCTGGGAAAGTCACGTACGTTGGCAATGCTACACGATGTTGAAATGTCGTCTAACCGACCTTGCATCAATTTAGCACCTATCGACCATGGCAGCAACACAACCGGACGCAAACGACGCCAGGAGGCGACAGTTGATTGGGTGGCCGACAGCGAAGACGAGCCTGAAATCACAAAACCCACTGTGCACCCATCGAAAAGAGCGAAGAAAGCCCCCGAAGTCACGCTCGACGAGCCGGGTAAGTATGAACGTGAGTTTCGTTGTCAAGCCACCGCTCTGACACAATTTGTTGTGTCCTCAGTAGCGACTGCGGCGCCCATTGCTCCCAAAGGCCTCTTCAAAGAGAATCCAAGCGAGGCTGTTGCCACTTCTCGTAAATCCTCGAGGCTGCACTCCAAGCAAAACCCAGGAGCGAAAGCGGCACAATCGCCGGATCGCGGAAAGAAGGGATCACTCACTGGTGCGGTCACATCGAAGGTTACGATGGCGAATGGTCATCTTGACCTTGCTTCAACTTCCTCGGCTGCCCAAAGCAATGATTTGAACGACGTATACGATAGGATTGGGCGGGGCGCTCACCCGAAAGTGAAATATTTAGAAGAACTCGGCGTCCCGGTGGAGTTCAACTCGGTGTGTACTTTCTGCTTATGTCCCGAATGTACAGATGTTTAGTCCGAAACGCCTGATACAGATCGTGACATGCTCTGGATGTCGATTGCGCGGCACACCATGTGTTTTTGATCTACGACTCTCCTGGAACTGCTTGTTTTGTTGGGGGTTGCAACGGCGTTGCGACCTCACGTCCAATTATCACAATGAGGCCGTTGGACCGAAAGGGGATGCCGCCATCGTTCTCATGGCAGAGTATCATGCCACCTTGTTCAAGATGCAGAAGGAAGGCAGAAAGAGCTTCCCGGAACGTGCAAGAACTGTGAAGCGTCTTCCATTATCTGACCAGAAGCGAACATACCTTATGTCAAGGGAAGGAGCCGTGCACGACAAGAAGGCAAAGAAAATCGAGTACGGAAATGCTGGACGCGGCTTCATGAAGACGACTGCCGTCGCCGAAAGGTCAAGAGCCTCAGCATTGACGCACCCGATCAAGACCACGAATGGAGTGGAAGTTCACGCTGGAGGCACTGCTTCCATCTCGTCCCATGAGCAGGAAGTAAATCCCACCGACGAGGCGATTGTTGGTATGTGGCACGCATCTTAAACTTGAGACTCGCCGTACTTAAAGACTTTCCTGACAGAGCAGCAAACGGCTCTCAAATACAGCG